CTTGGTGGGTGTTTCCTACAAACTCCCTTTGCCTCCAGAAAAATGTTGCTTTCTTCTTCAAGTAGGACACTTGATGTGGTACTTGCCACCTCCTTGTCTCAGAGTTTGAACGAGTAGGGGCACTTTGAGCTGCTTCGTTCACGGCTGCTTGCACACCCGAGGGAAGAGCAGGTTTGATTGCATGCTTGGTGATTGTAATACTCTGTAGAGGCCTGACACCAGTCCCCCCTGGGGAGGGTATAGCTGTACTGGTGGAAGCAAAAATAGAGAAGTGGACAGAGGGCTGAGAACTTCCACCCTGCAGAGCTGCAATTTGACACTGCCTTGCTGATGAGATATCCACTTAGTCTTTGCAGCACATGGTTTCCACATGCTGTTCTAAGTGCTCTGAATTTCTTGCCCAAGGGGGCTTGGCTGGCAAAACAAGTTAGTTTTGTGTTCACACTGCCCACCTTGCAGAAGTGGTGAACTGCTGCAGGTTGGATGCTTGGTTGCTTTTACATTTGAAAAAATTGCTTCATTTGGCTAGGGTGGAGATCTCCTGAAGGATCAGAGTTCAGTTGTTGACAGAGGTCTGTTGAAGATACCTTAAACTAATTTTAAACTGAAGTGACTGTGCAATTAGGTCCTGAGACTTGTGAAGAAGGAGACTTGTTGGTACTGTTGTGTTGCTGTGTTATTTCTACAGATGTTGGGCTGCACCTAACCATGTACACAAAAAAAAAGGCACCAAAGGAGTGTGGTCATGTTTACAAGTTGGTTACAAATTAGTCTCACTGGCTGGAAGTTGAGAGAGACCTTCAGGAAGATGACTGGTTATTGAGTGGTGCTGGCTCTTGCCTCTAGTGAGTGTGAGTGGCAACAAGAGGCTTGTCTCTGCATGCATGTGTCTGGAGCAGTTGTGTTGGAATAGTTGGCTGGGGAAGTCATGGACTGCATTGACTTTTTGGCAAATGAAGATGACAGTGAAACATGACAAAGGTGATAACCTGATGTCTAGAGCAGAAGAGAGTGGAATATCATTTTTAAAGTCAAATAGTTATATTGGAAGAACTCCCAAGGGTAGGCAGGACACCAAGAGAGTAATAGTGCATTTCTTTGTGCTTGAGGTTCCCTTCCTTGCAAGAGGAAGAAGATTCAAAATTTCATGTGAAGTTATCCTAAGATCAAATCTTACTTGAGAATTGCAAATCATGCACTTTCACTTAGTCTGAGGTCAGTGGTGTTCTCCTAAGTGCTGAAAAAAATTCATTGTCTTGGGTACCCAGTTTAATATTGCCACAGGATCTTAGGTAACAAGTATTTCTTTATTACTGTTTGGATTAATTTATTCAATGTGTTGAGCCAGTTGCTTTACTGTGAATTGTATCAGCTTTTGCTGTTATGATGGTAGTATCTAAGCTGAGTAACTTTGGGCTTTTTGATCTTTGTCAGCTTTCCCCTTTAAATTCATCATTTTGAGCTCCAAGGTGGCATTAAACATAAACCTTGGTATAGTGGCTTTCTGCTGGATAGCTGTTGATGGAGAATTTGGGTGTTGTGAAGCACATAGTTTTGATGGCTGATTAGTGAAACAAAGAACTTTTTTTCAATGACAGAATTGGGGTAGCTTTTTCTCTTGGATTATTTTGTCTACGTGTTGAGCCTAGCCTGTCTCTTTGAGGTCAGACTACAGGGCTTGGGAGGATTGGAGAAAACCCTTGCTCTGAAGCTTATACTGGCAACCCTTCTCAAAACTTGGGGGAGCTCCAAACATAGGACCTGTGCCACTGAGTTGTTAATTTTGAGTTCTGCATGACTGTTCTTCTGTGGGAAGAGGTTGTACTCAACATCCCCGTCCAAAGTTGTTTATGTCTTGTAATGTTGGCTACCCAGAAAGTCCGGGAGTGGACCTCTGGGGCTGAGAATTGTGGTTTTCAAAACTTATGTGGGGAGCACCTGCCCAGATGATTGCAGACTTGATGGGATGCAGCAGCCATTTGCTTCATTGTCTGGCAGGTTAGGTTTTTTGTCAGTGTGGGTCTTGTTTTTCTCAGGTGGTGTTTTTTCCACTTCCTCCTTTTGGGAAGAGGGGAGACAACAGACTTCCTAACATGTGTAGGATAGCTTTTTTTTTTTTTAGAAAAGTGCTACTTAAACATCTGTTAGTTGGTAGATGCAAGCCACAATGAGCTTTTCCTCTTGGTTTCCTATTACTGTTTTCCCCAGGGTTCAAAGATATTTCTGGCTCTTCTTCCCCATATGCATTTGATAGTAGTGCCATAATGTATAGTGGATCTTCTTTAGACTGCAGTCCTCAAGGTTGTGACACAAATTTGTTCTTCTGTAGTGCAAGATTTTTGTAGACAAGATTTTTGTCCTATGCCTTCCTTCTTGTGTTTAATAAGCAAGGAAAGTGGAGAGAAATTTATTTACATTTGTTTGCTTTAAAGATTGTTTCTGTGCTTATAAGTCTCTGTAGGCAGAGACTTATAAACTCTTTAATGAAAACCACATAGAAGGCCGACCTGGAACTTTGAATGCTCATTTCTCATGGCAGAATGACCAGCTAATTGTTACTGGACGTGTTGGGATGTGCCTCTGTGTGATGTTAATAAAAAATGGCTATTTTGTGGCAACTAGCACTCATTCACACCCTTCTGTAATCTGAATTTTCAAGTTTAAGCAAGTTCTAAATTTCCATTTTAAAAGCATTTAGACTTTCTTCCCTATGTATCCAGTTTTAGCAGAAGAGTCCCCTTTTGAACATGAGTGCAGCTTCTGGAGTCCAGTTCCCTGTTGCTTCTCCAGTAGCTCCATGGAGAGGTGTCCAGTGAAATGCCTCCCTACTATGTAACAATCCATCCCCTGGATATTTAGATGCTGCTGTGTGTAAGACTGTCTCCCTTAAGTGGAGTGTCTGCAGCAAGGAGCAAGACCAGCCTGTGCTAGAGGGCAGGGCAGGGGCCAGTATTCAAAGCTGCAGACAGGGAGACCTGAATGAAAGCATCTGCTGTGCCTGTACGATTGTGGAAGTGGCTCTGGTTTTGTTCCTCTGCTGCCATGGGAGTGAGTGCCATGTCATGAACCACTTTTGGTTGAGGATGGGAAAGCTCAGAGTGCTTCTTTCAGATTTGATGGTGAGTGACCAAGTGAGAAACTGTAGCATCAGTAGAAACTGCAGTACAAAAGGCAATGCTTCCTTCTAGTTTGGAACTTTCTTTTAGAAGAAAAAAGGTGTTAAGAGTACTGATTGGAGGGGTTTTTGACTGTCTTAGAATTTAAAATCAAAGCCCTCCTGAGGTGACTTGAAACAAAATGGTGGGAATTCTGTGTGTCCTTGAGATGGTTTAGATTGGGGTAGGGGTCACAAGCAGTAATCTGGCACAGCACTAACTCAAAGCTTGAGTGCTGTGTGTGCAGTAGCAGCCAAGGCTTCCTTGCTGCTCTGGGGATGAGGTTTTGCTGACAAGGAGGGAGCTTAGTGTACAAATATACAATCCCTTCTGGCTGAGGGTAGGATTTGCCTGGCAGTTGGTTGAGGTGAGTCCATTGGTTTACTAAACCAGTTTTGATGCCCATCAGCCAGTAGGGATTTGAACTGCCTGGAATGGAGGGATCTGCACTCTGGTGACTCCTGCACAACCAGTGTGGGAAGCTGGGACATGTGTGGCAATGCTTGTAGGGTTAGGGGAGCTTAGGCCCTCAGAGCTGAGTCTAGATGCTGTGCTTGGTGGTGCTAAGATGTGGCCAGGGAAGATGGAGTGAGGTAATGAACTGAATAGCCTGCTTTGCAAAGGGTGCTTTTCTTTCCAGGCTGGGGTACTTGTGTTCATCTCATCTGCTGTCAGGTCCATTTTGCCTTATTAAGACCTTATTTGCTCAAACAGAAGGTATTTATTTGCTGCCCCTGTGCTTCCAATTAGCAAACTTGTGCCTCCTTCCAGCTTCCTTCCAGTTGTTTATTGAAGCAGGTGTCCGCTGCACAACCTCTTCCCTTACTCTGAGCTTGACCTGCTTTCCTCATGTTGGTGGAAAAAGTAGGGCAGATTTCTAGCTTTGGGTATTATTAGCCAGGAAACAAAGAGACACCCTGGGTTTTTATCACCCACTTCCTGAAAGGGCTAACCTGTGATGAGGGAGTGCTTCAGGAAGCACTGTGGTGATGCCAGGAACCCTGGTCTGTGGGAAGGTGGAGGACAGGCCCTTAAGTCTGGTCCCTGGCTGCCTGGAGGGATTAATTTGGCTGCAGATGGAGGGACAAAAAGAATCACTGATGAAGCGGACAAGAGAGTTCCTGGAGTTCAAGAACATAAACAGAGCCCAAACATACAGTAATTTTTTCTTTTCATAAGCCAAATGCTTCTGAGGTGATGCTGTGCCTCAGAGTGGCAGCAAAGTTCGGCCTGACCCTTCCTTGTGTGTGGCCTTGGCTGTCAGAACTGCATTTAGAGTGTGCCAGTGAGTGCTGTTTCCTGGACATGTGTAGTTGGGATGTAACAGAATTCAGCCTGGAAACAGCCTTGAGCACCTTGGTTTTTGAAAACTGATCATTGTACATTCCTGGAGCCCCGTGTTAGTGCTTTATCTTGCTGACCAGCTGATGACATTGATTGCTGAAGGCCAACAGTCAAAACAGGATCCAGACCTCTTCCTGCTTTCACTTAAAGTAGATAGGTTTTCCTGGCAACCTGCTTAAGGATTTTGTCTCCACCTTTTCGGGTGAATGATGGCAGTTGCAATAATACTGATTATTAATCAGCTGTTACTTTAAGCCACAAATTTACTGTCTGTCACTAAAACTTGCAGGGAACTGATGGATAACTGCTATTGTAAAGAATAAGGTTTTTGTCCTGACCTACCTTGTTTGATTCCTTAAAATAGACCAGTGCTGCTCGTATCTGCCTTCCACAGCTTCACAGCTGTATGTGAATAACCTATTTTGTGACATGCTTTCAATCTTTTTTTTTTCCTCCAGTCTTAATTTAACCTATAATACTGTTCTTTTTCATTTCTTTCAGAATGGACTGCTGAATTGGGATTTATTGCAGACTCAACTGTACAGCGCTGCTCATTGCTTCATCTATTACCAGTTATTTAAATTGGACTTTTAATATCCTGCCAGCTGCTGTCCACACACACATGGTGCATTGTTGCCATTCTCAGAATTGCATCTTTGAAACCCAGGCCCTCAGTAACCTTCACAGAAGAAAGAGGCGACCTCCTGCGTACATTTGTAGAGGGAGTTTTTGGCCCTGCTGCCCTCTGGCTTTCTGGCTGCTGCTGTATTTCTGAGACACTATGGAGCCCAGTATGGAGTACTGCTTAGCGCAGGTGCTGCAGAAGGATGTTGGAAAAAGACTTCAGGTTGGCCAGGAATTGATAGATTATTTCTCAGATAAACAGAAGTCAGCTGATCTTGAACATGATCAGACTATGCTGGATAAAATGGTTGATGGACTGGCCACTTCTTGGGTAAATTCCAGCAATTACAAGGTAAGACTTTGTCTTGTGGAATGTGGTTACTGTCAGGAGTGTCGATGTCAAATGCTACTTGATCTAAATGAAAGCTGTATAGTAGACATTCTATGATACTGTTCTGTAAGGTGGTAATTATACTGAATCAGTGATTGTTGTTCCGTATCTTGGTCGTTGATAGCTGCTATGATATCGAGGACTCAAGGCAGTAGGAATTCAGTGAATGGTGTTTTAAGCACAAGTGGATTTACATTTGGTGTTCGTAGTTTGTGATATCCTGGTTTCTTTGTGTACTTTGTTTGCTGGTGCCATGCTTTGGTCATCCCAATAGTTTAGCAGTGTTCATGATTTCCTGCCATACTAAAAGGTTTATCAAACTGAAAAAAGCATATATGAACTGCATTTGTTTTCACTGTTATTAAATCTTGCTAGACTTTTGCTGTTTTCTGTGGGCAACATAGTAGATGAATTGTACTTAGCTCAAGAAAGATAATGTGTGTATGTGCCTTCTGTTGGATTTGATAATGTTGAGATGAATTGGTAGGACCTGGAACTCCACTGCCTTGTTATCCCTGCCATGAGACTTCATTTCCCTTCAGATTTAATGAGCAAGTCCTACCACAGCCCGGTGCTGTGGGAGTGGGGAGGGATTCTCAGCTGTGACTTGGAAAACTCTTGTCCTGGTCTGTTCATGAGGCCCTCTGAAAAGTCTAATGAAGTACTGAAGCTAATGTGCGGGATGTAATAATGTTCCTTTTTGATAAGTGGTGGGGAATCTCAGAGTGAAAGTTCCTACAGAGCTGGGCCTAAAGATGGGGGTTGTACTGGAGTTCACACCTATAGAAGTGAAGGAGGGACAGGCTGTGTAAGTTGTAAGTGCTCTGGAGCTCAGCATACTCAATTTAAATTATTTTTAATACAAGTTTTGATTGGGAGGTGGTTGTGACATTGCAGAGTGTTCTGCACAACTGCATTTCTTTCTTTTCATTTTTGTCAACAAGCAGCTGTTGTAGAAGCTGTTTGGCATGTATGGGAAAAAAACCTCAAATGCTAAAAACACTATCACCAAACCACCAAAGCTAATATGGTCTCAATAGAGAATCTATTCTGGTGGAACACATAAAGAAATATTTAGCTTGCTGTTGTGAACAAGCAGTGTACATATAATTTTCTGAGAGTATTATATATTCTTCCTGCCCCTTTTCTTGCTAACTGGTTTTCTCTTATAAACTTCCATGATTCTCAATGGAACAGTAACCCAAGCACAGTAAAATTGAAATTATTACAGAATGTTGCATGGATTTCATGAAGTGATGTAGATCATGGAGCTGTGCAGTGCTTTGCAATCCCAGTATTGCACTTAGTTTGCAGAATTTCTATTCAGATAACTTGCTCTCTTCTCAATCTTTTGTCTGTTGAACTACATGCTTATAATGATCTCTGTGGTATTCATTTTCCAGTAACAAACTGATGGCACTTCTGTACTGTAGTGACTCTGTTCCAGAACTCATGCTGCTGAGCTGGCTGTTCATTAATGTGTGTGTTCTATAGATAGCATTTGCTGTGATTAATAAGTTCTAGTAAGCATAACAGAGACATGTCTCAGATGTCTGGAGGGTGTTTTCTCAGTGAATGAGTACAGTAGGAGATGTGAAGCCTTTGAGTGGGGCAAGCTGGCTATGTGAAGGTCAGTGGTGTGGTGAAGTCTGCCTCAGGATCCAGCCAAGGCTTAGTGCCCCTCTTCTGCCAGTCTCCTCCTTCTGTTTTAATACCTGCATCTGCATTATTGTTGCCTTTTTCCCTGACTGCTTGTGGGGTAGGGGTTCAGAAGCTCAGCTTTGTCTGGTGTGAGAGCACAGGGGAGCTGGTGCCATCTGATCCAGTTCATGGATTAGTGTGTCAACTTTAGGAGTGAAAGGCTAAGCATCACTGCCCTAGGACAGCCATCTGGAGAGCTGAACTGCAGTGGTGTGCTCACAGTGGAAGAAGCTGAGTATTTGTAGTCTGTTTCTCTTCTCACCTCAGTCACTTCACTTGAAAAAGTATCAGTTTAAAACAGAGATTGAGATCATCTGCATGATTTGAACTTTCCTAGTACTTCACCAATAAAGTGTGTGTTCTCAGAATAAGACTGAGTATGGATAACAAGAGCCATTATTCTGGACAGCATCCAGTGGATTCATGGCTCCTGCCTGTCTAGGACTCCTCTAACTGAACACTTGTGCTTATATATTATCACCAAGGAAACAGCAGTGGACCAGAGAAGAGGCATCTCTAAGGCAAACCAGTTTAGTTTGGGTTAAAAGGAGCTTGAACTGGTGATGAAATTGCATCTTTACAGGAAGGGCTCAAGCTATCTCCCTCACTGGCATGCCATCTGATCTGTGTATGTCATGACCCTCGTTGACCTTTTTAGGCTTTGTTGGTTTTCTGTACATTGTTTCTATTTTTTCATGACACTTCTTTGTGAAGTCCTTGACCTCAGCACCATGACTGCAGATAATAGAGTCTTTATTTTCAAGATATTCAGGAAAAAAAAGAATGATGGGGGGCAGATATGTTTTTCTTTGGTTGGTGCTGTCTCAAGTCTGTTGAAAACAGCATGTGTAAATTATAGTGAGGCCTAGCATACTTCTGATAGCATTCAGTACTCTAAAACTCCTTAACAAATCATCTTGTGACCTGATCACTGGTCCCTGCTTTGTAACAGACAGATGCCTGAGGTGCAGAGGGCACCTGGATAGTTCAGGATGCTTTTCAAGTCAAGGAAACGTAAAGGTGATTGTATGAAACAAGGCACTGAAGTCCAGTGCAAAGCCATTTGCATGTTTATGCTTGCTTGAACTGCACCCAACAGCCATTGCAGGCTTGAGTTTTCTCAGCAGCACTTACAGGTGTGTAGAAGACATAAGAATGGTGCAGAGTGATAAGATGAATTCTTCTTGAGAGCTCTTACTCCTCTTTGGAGCACAGTTGCTTATAGCAGAGAGCCTGTGTTTGTGTGAGCACTAGGAGTTGCGGATTACACCAGTGAGGCTGAGCTGGGGAAGGTATTGCAGGATGCTTTAGGCCAAAGAGGAATTCTGCCTCTGGTCTGTTTCTTCATTTGTGCTTTGTTTGCGTGGTCTGTGCTGTTTCAGGATGGTGGCTCTGCTTGACTCCTTTTCTTCCCCTGCTAAGCATAAAAGAGAGTTATTTTGCTGAGCTTTCAATCTCTGAACAATAACCAAGGCCTGCACAGAGCTGTCTGTCTTAAAACATGAGGCAAAACAGCACAGCAGTGTCAGAGGCTTCAGCATGTCCTCTCAGGTTCCACAATGCTATGGCAAGGGGAGAGAGCTGAAATGTCAATAATCCCCTGGTGAGCCATCTCGCTTGGAGCTGCTTCTGCAGCATTTAGTAATAGGCATGTTAAGTGTGCAGGATCTCCTGGCTCATCTGTGCCTGATGAGCCTTTCTCAGTACCCAAACCATGATGTAAATTAAGGTGTAAGGTAACATGTCCAGGATGTTAAAGTAGTTTTCCACCAGGATGCTATTCTGAGAGGTGAGCTGAGAGTGTTTGGCACTGTGACTTTCTCTTACCTGCTTCTCCTCAGCAATACTGGGAGATGAGGTCTCTTGCACCTTTTTCCCTGGGATGTGTTGCCTGTATTGGTGGAGTTGAGGTTTCCAGTGGAAATAGCTCTTATTTTTGTAGGGTTTTTTAGACAAACATCTAAGAGGGAAATTTATGGTGACAGAGCCTTCAAGCAGGTCAGGGTCCAACATAATGAAGAGAGATTTTATTCAGTGTTTTCACTTGTTGCAGAGTGGTAGGAGAGGTCAGCTTGAAGGGAAGCTGGATGGAGGTTTGCAGTAAGGAATTGGATGCACCTTTGTATTTTTTTCATGCACTTTCACAAGTAGTGATTTTTTGGCACTGCGCTGCTCTCACTGGACAGGGTTTGCTTTCCAAGGAGAGTATCTCACCTTGCATGGAATGGTCCCCTTGTCCCAGGGCAGCCAGGTCTGTGTGAGGCCCAGCAGCCTGTAGGACTGGACTGGGTTTTGCCTCTGAGAGGCGAGTTAGGAACTGACAGGGTTAACAGACCCCCGGGTCGGAGGACGCATCCACAGCCTCCTGCTGTGCTGGTAGACTCAGTCTGTCCGGGCAGGGCTTCATCCTGAGCTTTGTTTGTGCTCATGTATGCAGCACTTCGGATTTGATTTGTTTAGTTCCCAGCTGATTTTGGTACTGAGAGAGACATCATTCTCCTTAATGTAAAATGTAAGATGTTAACGAGCATTTTTTTGATATGGTGAAATATGGCACAGATATTTTATTTCCCCTGACAAAATTCCTAATAGCATTAGAGAAAGCAACCTTCCATTCTGATCTGTTTCTGAATATCAGGCATTACAAGAGCATGTTTCACTGAGCTGAAGAGAAATAAAACTTACATAAATTAGCTGGCTTTCTTAAACTGTGTATCGAATAATTTTTTTTGCTTGCTAATTGAGGGGTAGAACAGATGGTGCAGGCTTAGTTTAAAGTGACATCCATTAGAGTTACTTAAGCTGATGAATGGTTGTTCATTATAAGCATACATTTGTTCTCTATACCATGTTTATTTTGGTTGAAATTCGGTAGAAGAAATCCTGATTTAAGACATAATGATCATGCATGGTTATGGGTTGATATGATAATTTGGTGAGTGTGTTTTGTTGAGTATTTAATTCATGGAGGGAAAGGACTTCACCATCTGTGGAAGAAAAAGAGACTTGTAAAGGGTTTCCAAGCAGCTGCTGTTAGCTGCTGAGTTTTGAGCTGCTGGGGGTGCATGGAGATCAGTAATGTATACAGTCAGCTACTGCTTTCATCACTCTTTACCATGAAGCTGAAATGGCTGATAGAGAAGAATTAAATTAGTTTTCATGTACAAAAGACATGAGAAAGTGATTATGGAGGAAAAGTGATTTTGAGATGTGGACTTGAGAGTACAGCCCATTCCTTCCATATGCCCATATTGCAAAAG